GCACTGCGACCTTAGGTCTATTGTGCTTAGATCTATGGCTAAATCCACTCAACCTCACATGCTGATGATTTATATATATGTAAGTATATATTATAGGGCTTCCGATCCTGTATAAGATACAAGTGCATAACAGACAGTTTCTTACTTCCAAATCTATAACCGGCTGATTACGGAACTCGGCTAAGAAGACTGCAGCGCGCTTCGATRTCGAATACTTTCGAAAGTCCCAATTGTATATGATTTTTGCTGGTATCATCAACTGCTCCATATCCATGCAGTTATCACAAAAGTAATTGCCACTGAATCCGCAAACTCTGCAAAAATAAGCGTCAAGCAATTAAAATAAATTCTTAATAAAGTTTTTGATATAGAAACGCACTGAAAGTTCGTGTAACCAATGCCCAGAGGGTGTTGGCATGATTTGCAGAGAAATCCTTGAGCATCCAAACCGGGTTGCCGCGCCAGCTTGTACATCTGCTCCAGCATTTCTTGTATTTCGCTGACATTCATKCGATCCAGCTTAGAATTAGGCACCACTTCGAAGTCTAAGGTCAACTAAAATTCAAATAAACAGCTACTAAGTGACAATATGTGCATAACTAATGCTAAACTTACGCGACTATCGTTTGAATCGCTGCCATTGTTCTCGGCCTCGTGCTCCGTTGCAACCTCACCATCCGCATGAGTCACACACGTGCGCTCTACAGTTAAAGCATTATTTTTTATTTGTATCTGCAGCTTCTCGCGTTCATGTKTGCCCAACAAAGTATTGTAACTGAGCGTACTGGCATTACTTGAAGCACGTCTATATAAGGGTCGCTCCAAGGTAGGTGTAGTCAATTCGGACACAGATGATTCGTCGCCCGACCACGATGTGTACATTAAATTCTGTAGCGAGTTACCAGGCGTTGTGGGCGTTGTTGGCTCAGTTTTATAGCCTGATTCACCGGTTATGTAGTCGCGTATGCGCGCTTCCGCAAGTTCCCTTGATTTTTTGCGTTTCTTCTTTGATTTGTGACYGTTTAATGCATAGTCATTATCTTCTTGCGCATTTTTGTCGCCYGYTTGATTTTGGTTAGCGGCTTCTTCTGTACTCTCTTCGCTTATCATTTGCATTTCATCAACTGCTTTTAAGAGTAAGTCGACACTTTCGCGTTGTGCGGCGATTTCTGCAGCGTTCGGCGATGYTAAAATGGGTAAATTCTCAATCTTTTGCGAAAAAGCTTCACTCGTGCTTATCGGACGTGGCGTTGGCAGCATTACAACGGCTTCAGCTACCTCAGCATCTTCRACACCAAGTGTGTCGGCGATGTCTACGCCACTACTTATCTGCAATATAAATAAAAATAATTAATTTGTTTAAATACAATATATAAATGATGATTCAAGCTACCGGACATGATTTCAACGGTGGTGTCCATAGCCCAGACAATTGCAACGCATAATCGGGCCAATAGTTGAGCAAACTAGAATTCACTGGCAGATTAAATTGTACAATTGCTTCGATGCCTTCCATGGTCTTCGCAGCCATTTCCAGACCATCACTATCCTTGAGTAATGCAAACTTTTTATAATATGGACTTAGCGATGAATTGCCTTTGCGCATGTTATTTAAATAGGCGGAAAAAAGAGATTCGTTAAGCGAGAGGCGTATCCAAGCGCGACACTGACCAATTTCGGTAGTGATTTGTGAAAGCGTTTGCACCTAGAAAAATTTAAAAGAAAAAATAAAACAAAATTAAAAAAAAAAATATTAATTTCTTTTTGCTTCAAATTTTCAAAAAATAATTATAAATTCTAATTATATAAAATATTTTTACCTGCTCAATAACCTGTTTGTGCATAAATATCAATAAAGGTGCCCAAAAACTGGGCTCTGGCCGTCGTTCTTCATCTCCTGCTATCACATTTATCGTATTCCAAAGTAATGAATCCTTAAGGCCATGCAGGAAAATTGCTTCTAATGTCGTGCATAGCGTGCTAGTGGATTCGCATACCTCCAAACTTTCTGCAGTRCGTAGATAAGAAATGTATAATATATACACGTAAAATATAACACAGAAGAACAAACTTACCACACCCCAGCTGCTGCACTTCATATTGTATTTCACGTGAATTTTCTACGAGCGTATTTATAAGCGCTTCTTTAATMGCATTTTCGCGTTTACTAGAAAATTTGCTAAAACTGTTGAATAAAGAACTCATGGTGTAGCAGGTATATATGCTTTATTACGAGGTCAAATTGTTTTCTTTTAACACCAGCTCAAGTGCGCACTTTCGTAGTCGTCCTGCCACTACTCATTTCTTTCGGATATTATGCCAGCMAGCATGTTTTATTTTGCGACACAGTTGATAAGCACACAATTATAACATTTATTTTTGTATCTTTTGCTTTATTTATCGCAAATGTTTATTTGCTTTTTGTATTGTTTTGTAAAATGTATGAATTGTGATATCASTGCACTTTTCGAAGTCAATTGTTTTGTTTATCGAATAGTATCGATGAATATCAGAAGGTAAACAGCTGTTTAATTTGCATGGTTGCATTTAAGTAACATTTTCTGTGGAAAGGTATTAAATATTTAGGACTTTGTTTTCAATAACGAAGGAAGTATTTTTGGTCATGTTACCCAGAACTTAATAGAAATATGGGGCTGCTAATCAGGCACTTAGAAAACGGCTGCTCCCAGACTCTGAGGATCTGGATACTAAGATAAGTATAAGCCTGCGCACTATGAAATTCTCGCACACTTTCACTCAATTCAAAAATACTTGGAATACCAAGGCCGCCGGGCAGAAGCAACTGGCTATCGTTTATTTGCTCACACACAGTGGAGAAAGGCGCGGGAGAGTAGAAATCTCCGGAATAGAGAGGCGAAGAATTCTTTATCGATCAACGCTTTCGGGAAGTGACTGCCGTAAAGATAGCTGTAGGTCTACTGCTCCAGAGCGCAGTCTACATCAGACTGGTGACTAACCAATCATGTATGTGTCACCTCAAATCAGGAGAGATCACCTGTACTCGCTATTCGTCGAAATGTTAAAGTTCAAGTGGCAATAAGACAAAGA